GTGTAGCCATGAAATCTGTCTTGTATCATATACTAGATTTGAAATTTTGCTTATGTTTAAGCAGATGTAAAATATCATTTGAACATTCTATATTACATGGCTTAGTACAGTCTCAGTTTCCAATCATAGGCTATGCTGTCCCTTAACAACTAGGTTGCATCCTTAATCACGTTAATTTAAATAATGTCCATTGAAAGTTGAAATGTTGGAAAAATAAGTGGTTAATAAGTTTGGGTGGACTGCAGCGTGTGTGCTAACCCAATTATCTGAGCACTGTTATCATCAATTGACTAAGGACTGATATTTTCTGAAGCATGAAACCTTTCTTGCTCAGTATCAGTAAAGCTCCACCGATCTTATGCCAGGACTTTTGATGCAGTGGTTGAAATTGAGAAAAAAAAGAAGAAAGCTTTTAGGATGTTATGAATGAGGTCATTGATCACCGCCAGACAAAAAAAACCCGCACACAACCATGGAGGAGATGGGGTATGACAGATTTTGCCACAGTGCTTCTGTTATATCGAGCCACATGACACACATATCATGGAAACATATATTTTTTTGATGTTTGTCTTGTCCATTCAATAGTTCAGTACAAGTCACTTTAATATGGACAACGAGTGGCAAGGCATGATCATCCACGGGAGCTTTGGACTGCTTTCCTTTGGTGAATGGATTAGAAAAGGAGGTGACAATATTTACATATAGGATATAGTTACCGAAGATGCTAGCATCAATCTTATGCTTGGTATGATACTCCTGTGAATTTTGAAGCTCATGCTTTTGATTGCAGATCAGGTTCAGTGGCTCATTGAATTGCTCTGGCTGGATTAGTCATGCATAACAACCATATAGCGAATGTTTCTTCTAAATGCTTTAGTGCCTGCCTAAATGCTCTAGTAGTGATCGCTGAGTAGTCGTGAGGAACATCTGAATGGAAAGGTTTTAGGTTTAACATAATCATCTGCACACTGATGTTGTATATAGCAGACAAACTAACACGAGCCTTTCGTGTAAAAAACATGTTCTTTCCAGGATTTTGACGCTTTTCGCTCATCTGTCATAACATGATTTTAGACCCTAGAGCTCTATATCAGTTCAGGATATACAAGCATCCTGAACAGAATTCTGGGAGTTACACCACGACCAAGACCAAGTTTTTCATGTTGAGCATCAGCAAGGGGTAGTAGCATGAATTAAGTATTGTCCTTATTATAACATTTCCTCTACAATAGAAGGTTAAAATCCGTCACGGTGTAGGTTTTGATCATAGGATTTCCATGTAGGAGTCAACTCTGCAGATATGCTGCTATCTTCTGCCGGCTGAATCTCCAAGTTTGGCCGATTGTTGCCTTTTTTTCCGCACTCTGCTGCCCAGCAAATAAATATTTTTCTATTCAGAAATCCAAGGTTAGGTAAACAACAAGGCATTCTTGTTTGCCACGCTGTGGCAGACCGGATTAAGCACGTTGGAAAAGAAAAATGAAAGGAGAGAACCAGAAAAGGCGAGGAGAAGAAGAAAAGAATAACATGGCAATCTGGCCTCTTATATTCAATGAATTAATCCCAGAATTTGCTCCATTTCTTTTGATTTTTGATTGCTCTCAAACCATCTGTCTGCCCCTATTCAGTGCCTTCGCTTGGATTTGATATATTTTATTTTGGGTGCTCATATTGGAACACCATCATCAAATTCAAGTAATGTTCTTACTAGACTCAGCATATCAAACCAGAGATATGCCTCCTGGATGTTACACGTTTCTTTTTAAATAAAAGTCTTTGTAATGTATTGTAATAGAACTAGGGCACGACATGATTTTCTCCTTATCATTTTTTTTTTACTCGTTAGTCAAATTGCAAGACATAATGTTTAGTTTATCTCTAGATGGATTAGCTTAGCGTGACTGTGCGGCTAAAGCTCAAAACCCATTTATCCCAAGACTTAATTTTTCTAAAAGTTTCATGCGTGAACTTGATTTTAACTTTTTGACCATCCCATTACCTCGAAAATCTTGTGATTTTTTAATGCATGATTGAAGATTTTAAAGTTAATTTTATATATTTATTTATAATTTATTTTTAACAAGTTAATGCGTATTTTTATTAAAAAATTATTTTAACAAAAAAAATCCCAAGTTTACCATATTATTTTAACAAAAAAAATCCCAAGTTTAATTTGACCACAAACATTTAATTAACCGTGTCTTTTGTAATTAATTTTTTTTATCAGATACTTGTATTCTACTTGACAACAGAAACCGTGTCTTTTGTAATTAATTTTTTTTTTTATCAGAGACTTGTATTCTACTTGACAACAAATCACATCACATCTAGGTTTTCAATGGTGTAGAATGAAGATCTAGGCGGCAAAAAAGATGACGGATGCAATACTGTCAACGGAGACGGTGATTTTTATTTATTTCAACATTAATTTTGTCTTTAATACCCCTTATTAATGCTTTGAAGTTGCATACAAGCCCGTGATAGCTATCCCCGAACCATCACGCATCTGACAACTCACCAAAACCCTGGCTTTTGCACTGAAATATATGAAATAATAGAAGCCCACCAACTTAAATTAGAGGGTTAACCACCGTTTCTTTTTTTCTTGTAAATACATTTTAATAAGATACTTGGTTTAAAAAACATTGAATTAATATTTTTCAAATTTTTTATGATTTTAATATACTAATATTAAAAATAAAAAATAAAAAATAATTTAAAAAAAATTCATTCAACCATAAATGATTTAACAGGTTAACTTTAGACCAAGACCGGCCTTAATTCTCCATTTGCTGCTGTTTCCAGTTGTACGGCTTAGTTGTTGCGTAGGTGGGAAGGCACTCCCATGCTCCGTCCATCCACTGCCCACCGACTTCTTTTTTTTATTACTGCCTTAATGCAATTTTAAAAATTTTAATTCCTGTATTTTTTTCTTAAGAGTTAATCCCTGTGATTTTAAGTGGAAGCATTGTAGAATTAGTAGTTTGTTTGGGACTAAATTAAAAAATGTTAAAATTATTTGACATTTATAGCACACAACCGCAATATTCCTAGATATCTAGACCTGCGAGCATTCTTACGCCACGTGCTCTCTTGATCTTTCCCCTTTGCAGAGACCCGGGGGAACAATGAGGTGCAATACAAGCAATTTTATAGAACCTTATAGTTAGTGACAGCGAGAGAAAAAGAAATAAATAGGAGAGAATAAGTGACATTCATGACTTTCTGAATTATATATACATTTTTCCATCGACTGTAACCATTGTCAATACGTAACTTCATGTTCAAAAAAAATACATGTACGCATCGAATGGTTTTTTTTAAGAAAATAAATATAATTTTTTTATTTAGATATTAGATTAGATTAAAATCCTGCCTGAAAATTTTGCAACCACAATCTTACAAGGGGCAGCTTGTTGAAGATCAGAAACATGTGTAAATTAGATATAGAATTTATTTATTTTTTATCTTAATAGTTTAAGCTATTAAATTAAAATGATTTTTTAATTTGGTATTAGAATCTTAATAAACAAGCAGTAACGAGTTCGAAAATCATTATTTTTATTTATTTATTAAAAATTTAAATATAAAATAATATAAATTTATATAAGTTTCAAAGCAAAAAAAATTTCATTTTAGAAAACATGTTAAAAAATAATACATTTTAAAATCTCACTTAACAATTTAAATTTTTAAATTAAATTGATTATTTAATACATTTTAGATATTCCTTTCTAATGTAGGTTTTAGTGTTTTAATTTGATTTGGTTTTAATTAGTTAGATCATTTTAGTGATTATTATGAGTAATTTTATGGCTTGTTTTTCAAAACAGTTGAAATTAATTATTTAAAAATGTATTCATAAATTTTTAATTCAGAGTTTTCTAATTTTTAAGAACTTAAAAATCCTTTCTTTTTTTTTTTGGTTTCTCTCTCACTACATGCTAGGGGCTGCAGTGCCATGAGATTTTCACCGAGATGCATGATCCCCTAGGACCGCGCGCATGTGCACCTTGCAAGCTTATCGTTGTTATCCAAACAAGAGATCACGTTTCCGGCTTGACGACCTAAAGACCTCAGTGGAGTTATCTTGAAGCGTTTGCGTGCTAGCAGCATGGCTACACACGTCGGCATTCCCTTGCCCACAAGCCCCTACCTCTCTTTGAGTTTTCTCATTTTATAAATTCATTAATGCCCTTTTACACTGATCCCCGAGTTATCACAACATACACAAATTAATTAAATCTTTCAAGAATCAAATCTTCGATAAGTATCCACATCTAAACTCCCCCATGCAGAACCAGTAATGGGTTAGGTTTTAAATGAAACCAGTAAAAATTGATGATTTTGTATTTGAAATATTTTTAAAAAAAATTAATACTTGTTTTTTAATATTTTTAAATCATGTTGTAAAAATATATTATTTTAATATATTTTCAAATAAAAAATATTTTAAAAACAAACACTATGACACTCTTAAAAACCCCCCAGTATATTAATGCAATAAATTAACATATAAAGCAGTCAATTCAATCAAAATTTAATTTAATTTAAAAAAATAAAATTGAAACACTGTTAATGCATATTTGATATTTGATATTGTGCTGTATGATACTTTTTAAAAGTATTTTTACATAAAAATATATAAAAATAATTTTTTTTATTTTTATATCAATATATCAAGATTCTAAAAAAACATTAAAAATAAAAATTAATTTAATATATATATATATATATATAAATGATCAATATATTTTATATGTACAGTCCTCCTTCATATATGTTAATTCATGTTGCTTATAAACTAAATTATTAAACCTCGTCCATATCATGATTGGGTTTAAGGTTCATGGGTTGGACACACCAACTCAAATTAGTATCTGTTTAGAAATATGATAACTTTTAATTTTAAATGTTTACACACACACACTCACACACACACACACACACACACACATATATATATATATATATATATTGTACACGCAATAAAATGTAATGTATTATTATGATATGTAGAAATTAAGAAAGACGGAGAGAGATGGAGGTGATGGATTATGTCGGCCAAATTTGGATTTATCTTAAAGGCAGATTAACGTGGCGGCCGTGCCCAGACGACAGAATAGCAGCCAAGTAGGAAACAAAGGTAGCCAAACCTCTTCATATCTCTTTACAGATTACGCTACACTAAATATTATATAAGGAAAACCATAGCTCGAGAAGCAACCGTTTTAGTATTTTTAGTATTGACAACAGAATCTTTCTGGGTTCTTGTTTTTCTTTTTTACAAGACACCAAACCAAATCTTTAACTTATACTTTTAGTTGTTAAAATTAACCATGGAAGGAGGGTGTTGTACATCGTCAACAAGTACTCCAAGTTCAACTTCAACAGCAACCACAGAGAAACGGAAGCATAGCAGGCAACAAAACCAAGAGAAGCCATACAGAGGGATAAGGATGAGGAAGTGGGGTAAGTGGGTTGCTGAAATTAGAGAACCAAACAAGAGGTCGAGGATTTGGCTTGGGTCCTACTCAACACCAATAGCTGCAGCTCGTGCATACGACACGGCTGTTTTCTATCTCCGAGGCCCTTCTGCTAGGCTTAATTTCCCTGATTTGATATACCAAGAAGATGAGCTGCGAGATGTGTCTGCTGCTTCTATACGCAAGAAAGCCACTGAAGTTGGGGCTAAAGTGGACGCCTTACAAACCGCTGTCCATGCATCACCAGAAGATAACTCACGAGGGTTACTTTCAGAGAAACCTGATTTGAACAAGTTCCCGGAAAATTCTGATGAAGAGTGATCAAAACAAGATCGTTGACTAGCAGTTATAATTAACTGTCTGTATCTTTTTTTTTAATAAGTCTATCAAGATCTTTTTGGTTAGCCAAGGCATATGTGTAGCCGGAAAAAATTTCTGGCAGAAAAGAAATTAAGTCGTAGTGGAATCAGTACGTATCAGTAATAGATACTGTCAAAAATGAGTTCTACTGGTGATGATCGATCACTGGTAACTGGTAAGCTGTAACAAATTAAATTGAAGTGAGCTAAACTGTTTAGTGAATAGTTATTTTAGTTTAGTTAGTTAGTCAGCAAGTTTAATCCTGTGTTTTTCTTGTCCTTTAGCGGTGTTGTGTGATATGTTTGTACCGTTGTAATAATTCCAAATTAAGAGTTGTGATGATGAGGGGAGGAAGAAGAATGGCCATGGAAGGTGGGGATATAAAGAAACAGCCATGGCCTACCTTTCCCTCTCGTAGCAGCGATGAAGCTAGCGTAATTTGAAGTTTCCAAGCAAAAGAAATCAAGTAGATAAGGAGATAAGGCAAGAGCTTGGGCACCAAGCTGTGGCACTTGTGACGTGCCTGTGGACACCACAAAGCACAATGACATACACGCTGCTGTATGAGAGCAAGTGGTCCTTAATCAGAAGGTGGTCGCCTTCATGGGATGGTGGAAAGCTTACGAAAGGTTGTTTGCTGGAAGTTGATGGGGGTGATGAAAGCCAAAGGTGGGCGGTGAGTGGGTTCTTGGTTTCCTTCTTTTCTAGTATATGTTTTTAATTTGTTTGTTGCTTTGGCAATACATGCATTTAGCTCTAGCTGCTGTCAGATGCTGGTGCATGTGGAGGCCTTGCCTGTGGAGTGTGCGAGGACCGTTTATATATAATATATGATAGGGTTTCCCTCAAGCCTCGTCTGTCCTCCAATACAATATTGATTTCCACGGAGATACATAGTTAGGGCTACAGAGAGTTGCTTCATTAATGCTAATACTGTTTTGTATTACATTAATTGTTTTTATTTATTTTCACTGGTCGGTTGCTATATCAATTGTGTGCTAATAAAATATTAATGTAATCATGTTTGCTTTGACGAAAAGAAAAAACCTACCTCTCCTTCTTGTTTAAAAAAGAAACGAAAAATTGCTTTCATTATCCTTTAGATTATTTTTTTATATTTAATCTTTTTATTTTTTAAAATTATAGTTTACATTCTAAACTTTAAGATGTGTATAACATTTTACATTTTAAATCATATCATTTTATAATTTAATCCATTTTACATTCATTAAAGATGTAAATTGTAATTTTTTAAAACAAGAAAGGTTGATATAAAAACAATTAAACTATATAGAATATCCTGGGTAATTTTTCAGAAAACAAGGTAGAGAGTTTTTAACATGAAACCTGTTAAGAGAAGATGAGACATGTACAATTGATATCTTATTTAATTAAACAAGCTTTTTTCTCTTAAGTTTAGCATTTAAGCTAATTAATAAATGACAGAATATAGACACAAAACGATATCCTTTTCAACCCAACAACTTTTAATTGATTTATGAAGATTTTAAGGGGATCGAGAAGCCACTTGATATCGTAATTAAGAGTTTAGTCCGTAGAAATTAAATGAGCAAATCTTAAGGCAATGTTAGCAATATACTTTTATATATTACATGATTTATTAATCACATTTTTAATAAAATAAATTAATTAATTGTAAAACATAGTTTATTTCTATCATTTAGTATACCCTCTGCTAAATATATATATATATATTCTCTTGTGAAAATAATTATCATTTATGCACATCACGTGATAGTTTCAAATATGATTTTGCTAAAGTATTCCTTTAAATCAATAGAAAAAATATCTCTTTAAATAAAAGAGTTAACGCTCATATATATGCGTTATAAATAATAGTTTTAATATGTTATAGAGCTTGCTCAAGTTCGGATTTTCATACTAATACATGTGTTTTTTATCTTTTATTATTTTAAAGGAGTGTTTTTATCAATTTTAATCATAGTTTTTTCTTTGCAATTTGTTTTTCAAATAAAAAAAAAGTAATGGATAAAGCAATGTTTCTTGTACATATATATTTTCTAGCAAGGTAAAACATTAATAGCACACTTTCATATTTATTAATTAGTGTCGTTAATTTATTTTTTGTTTTAAATATAATATATAATTATTTTTAGTTAGCAAGTATAGCTTTTTCATAATAATTTTAATTTGAATAAAATAACATTAACGTTTGCAATTAGATTCTTACAGATTATACAAAGTATTAAGATGATTTTGATTTTTTTTTATTAAAAAAATGGTTATATATGATCTTAACAAAAAGATTCTTATTAAATCTCAATAAATGAACACGTTTTTTTTTTATTAAAAACGAAAAGAAAAACTAAAAAGAAGAGGAAAATTGATTGTCTAATATTACTAAACATAATTCATCTTTCCTCTTCGTTGGAAACCAGAGGAAACTTCATGAGTTTTTGGGTGCAACATACTTTTTTTATATATAGTTTTGTTAGCTTGCGTGAGACAACTAGTTGACAATTCGGAATTTTGGTAGTATGAGGAAATTAGCTTCCATGCCACCTTTCATGAAATGGTACTCTTGATCATATCGGATTTGGCCTCTACATAATTCAAAGGAGTTGTCTGAATATAAAGACCGTCTCTCTGAAGATAAATGATAGGACGAATTAAGTAGTTTCCTGTGATATTATATCAGGTCCTTGCTAGAGAGAAAAAACCCAAATTGCCGACAATTTTTTTTTAAGAAACCAGATATGAATCAATTCAGTTAAATTCTCAAACCGTAAAATCTAATTAATCCAGTTCTAGATTCTAAAAAACTAGATATGAATCAATTCAATTAAATTTAGATAACTCAGCAAATCAAATCAACATGTAATTTAGTTAAAACTAGTTTAATTATTTTAAAAAATAAAACAATATTTTTTAATTAATTAAATTAACCGGTTATACCCTTAACTTGGATTTTTATTTTTAGGCGGGTTTAATAATTTTGGAATGCATATATACCAACAATTTTGTTTACAACTGGAGCCTAAAAACACTCGAGTGATTCACGTACAAAAAGGGGAAAAAATAACACTTTGGTGAGCGTCCGGGGCCATAAGGAATGACCACATATCATTACCATGATTGGGCGACTAAGGTTGCTTTATCTCAGAAATGTAGATCAGGAGTTCTTAATTCATGGAAGTCCATGATTAAATCGAAGAAATAGGAGCTAAATTTAGGTCAGATGGTCATATTCATGGTGAAGTGTCCAAACCACACGCTTCTCAAGGGTGTTTTCCACTGCCAAAACATCATCAGTCATCGGCAGGCAGCACCACTACAGTTATTTTCTCTTGCTGTTGCTTCGTATAAATCACTCACCATATGTGCCAAATCAAGTCACGATCGCCTTTACAGTTATCTTGAGTTATCACTTTCGCTGGCCGCTAGATGCTAGTATATCTGCCTTGTGATTCTAGGAGTCGATTGACGCGAGACACGTAATTGATATTAAATATTTGGTGGATTTTTCATTAACTAGATCGATAAGTATAAGTTCAGGCAGACTTTCGATTGAGTCAAACGAATTTATTGGGCAAGACTTTTAGTACAATTGTTAGATTGGAATAAAATTTTATAAACATATATATTCTACAAACTCTGTTCTTCATGGAGTTAGCAGATTATTGTCTATCAATATCAAGATAAGTCATGCTCAAATAAGTTCTGCAAATTGTATTTCAAGATTTTCTTTATTTTTCTTGGATTTTTTAATTTTTTAGTGTTTGGTTTGGATTCCTGATACTAGCTATGTTCTATTGATTCCTTTTTCTATAAAGAAAGATATACAGTTAATATAAATAAAGAGTTATAATTTATTAGTATTTATAGCTTATTAAGTCGATTTTCTTTAACAGTTTCTGAGTGTATATAATATTTCTAGGACTTGACAAATCCTAATTTCTTCTTATTGCTACAAGCTGCATTACCCAAGAATTCTACTAAACCTTCTAGGCTATATATTTACCCTTCCTTTATATAAAAAAAAATAACTCGTGTTTAAAATCATGAATGATTTTCTTTTCAGATAAAAAGATTTCCACATAATTCATGCTTTTTAGATAATAACTAGTTTATTTGATGTGTTCTCGTTGTGGGCTTTCACTGAAATTGTTTTGATCATGAAAAGAATAATGAAAAGAATAATATCTAGGTCATAAGTAATTTTTCCAGCATTGTAATTAAACCTCATATAATAATTCAAAATTATAAATGTTCCTTTTACTTAGTTCAAGTTTTAAATTAAATTATACAAAAGTTATCTTGATATAATATTATAATTAATTAGATAAGTTTAAAGAAAAAAATAAAAATAAATTAATTTAGGTCTACTTGTTAAATCTGCTATTCAAGTTACAAACTCTACTGAATTAAATTAGTTTATTTTCAATTGAATATTAAAAAATAAAATTTAATAAAAACTCAAACTAAATAATGGATCGAGAGAAGAAAAAAAATATTAAAAAAAAGTTAAGTCATACTAAAATAGATCTAATATGATATAATCTTATGATCAATTAGAAAAATTAAAAAAAAATAAGAAGAAAAATAATTTAGATCAACCAGTTAAATTTACCATTTAAATTATAAACTTTACTGGGTTAAATTAATTTATTTTTAATTTAATATTAAAAAATAAAATTCAATAAAAACTAAAATTAAATAATAAAATTAAAAAAAAAAAACCAAACCATACTGAAAAAGACTTAGCCAAGCATGGAGGTCTAAGGGAGACCTGCACCCTTCGCCCAATTTATTTTTACAAGAGATAACCGATCAATCTTTTACTTTAAAAAAAATTACAAACTATTAATCATCTAAAAAAGATAAAATGTCCTTAACACTGCTCTAATATACTAACCACTCAGTTACCGTATAAGATTATTATTTAAATAACTAAAAATATATAAAAATAAATTAAATGAACTGTAAAACTCATTATTTAAATTATAGATTCCATTAAATTAAATTAATTTATTATCAATTCAATATTAAAAAATAAAAACTCAAACTAAATAATGAAATTAAAAAAAAATAACAATAAAAAAAAGCTAGTCACATTAAAATAGATCTATATAAAATAGTCAGGCATGTAGGTCCTAAACCCCATATTTTTTTATAAGATATAAATGATTTATCTTTTATTTTTTTAAAAAAAAAACCCCAAAAAATTAGTTATCTAAAAAATATAAAATATCTCTGACATTACTCTAACTTGCTAATCACTTGAGTTACAATATAAAAATATTATTCAAATGACTAAAAATATATAAAAACAAATTAAGTTAACATGTAAAACTCATTATTTAAATTATAGATTCCATCAAGTTAAATTAATTTATTATCAATTCAATATTAAAATAAACTCAAACTAGATAATGGAATTAAAAACAAATAACAACAAAAAAAAAGCTAGTCACATTAAAATAGATCTATATAAAATAGTCAGGCATGTAGGTCTAAAAGAGACCTGAACCCTATATTTTTTTATAAGATATAGATGATTTATCTTTTATTTTTTAAAGAAAAAAACCCACAAACAATTAGTTATCTAAAAAATATAAAATATCTCTGACATTACTCTAACTTGCTAATCACTTGAGTTACAATATAAAAATATTATTCAAATGACTAAAAATATATAAAAATAATTTAGGTTAACTCATTAGATTCACTATTCAAATTAAGTTAAATTAATTTATTATCATTTTAATAATAAAGAATAAAATTCAATTAAAACTTAAAATAAATGATAAAATTAAAGAGAAAAAATAAAAAATTTAATCATATGAAAATGAGCTATATAAAATAGTCAAGCGTGTAGATTTAAGGGAGAGCTGCACTCCTGGCCTGATATTTTTTACAAGAGATAAATGACCTGTCTTCTCCATTTTTGAAAAGAATAAAGCA